CCCCCCCCCCCATGATCTTAATGATCCATTGCCTTTATACCCACTCTCAGGACAAAGTGCCACATGAAACTTTCAGCCTATAAATTGCAAAGAGGTTGTAACATGTAAAGCCAGCCCTAATAACAAGATCATGTTTTGAGTGTATTTTAAGGGAAATGCCACTTAATCTTTAAGATGCAGGTGTGGTACTCCTATGGCCTACTATTGGATTACATGAGCGTTACAAATAGAATAGAGGAGCCGCCCCCTAATGTCACATCTGACTCCATTGTGATCAAATAACAGAAATCTCTTGGTGGTAATTTATTTTTAAGATGTTTCATCATCTTAATAAATAAGATAATAAAACACACGGAAGTGATGTTGAGCTCAAACTGTCTAGAAAGTTGCCTCTCATTTGTAAAATATGGAGCAGGCCCGTATATGTGTCCTTTTGAATTATGAACAAGTTCATGATTACAAAGAAAAATGTCTGAGAATTTTCTAACTGAGTGGTATTACTCTGTAACGGGGCTGATTGTATGAGCCTGACTTTTTCCTCATTGGTGGTGTTTTAAAGAAAAAACAAAAAAATCTATATTTCTTTATAATGTCTACGTACAACTGTGGTATATGAACAGACGTAAAGAAAAAAAATAATTTGAATGTGTTCTGCCCAAATGAGTATTGGGCTTTGCTGACTTTGTTTTTTCATGAAAAAAAGACTATAGGCCACCTAAGGCCGGCTGTCTGCTCATGAGAAGGTGAAACAAACTGCCTAAATGTTTCTTCATGTGAAACAATCAGATTGCAAGGCTGCTGTCAAGGTTGTTTCTGGCATTTGGCTAAAAGTTTGCGTGCCACCCTTTTTCCCTTGAGATATGAATTGTTCAGAACAGATTAGAAACAGTGCAAACAGTTCTAGAAGTTCTAGTAGTAGTCGTGAGGAATATCCCTAAACACATCAGCATGGTTTGCTGATTGAGAGGCCAAAGTACCATCACCAGTGATTTGACTTTAATGTGGTTTAATATGTTTCTTGGTGATAGTGAGATCCTTCTTTAACCTGAACACTGGGATAGTCACACTGCCCCGATGAATGCAGAGTATATTGACTTAGATGTGTTAAAGAATTACTAAATCATTGAGTGAATGAAGCAGCAGTTTATGTCGAAGTAGACTTTGTATGGCTGTAGTATACACAGGATTTACACCCCATGAAATGAATGTCAAATCAATTTAAACTTGTGTTTAACCTGTGTTACTATTTCTGGCACAGGGCCACATGGCCTGCACTTGTCCGTCATTAGATAAAATGCACTGGTGGACAGTGTGGGCTTGACGAGTGTTTGAGCAAATGCACATTCAAAGCCCAATGGCTGCTAATTATGTGTGCCCATAATGATGGTAGCTGCCCTAATCCTAGAGGTTAGACTTTCACAAATTTCCCTCTGGACATTTCCCCCCACATGGACACAGAGAGAAAAGAAACGTAGGGACACAAGCTCTGTCTTTCATTGATTTTTCTTTCTTTATTGGTTAATACTCAGTTTCGTCCCTGTTCCTAACACTACCTTCAGAAAGATTGTGCTTTTGCTCGACAACAGACGACTGTCAGGCTAAAAATGAACTCGCTATCACCACAAAAGACTTTTATTTAGCTTCTTTTGTTAAAAGGTTACACTAAAGGCCATAACGTAGGTGTCCCCCACCCTCCCTTTTGAAAGTGCCGCAAACAACTAAGCCACAAAATGTCTAGAATTGACTTTTGCTTGTTGATACAAATTGTATCTATACCTTGAATGTAACAAAATATGAAATGTATAGTATGAAAATAGTTTTATTTAAATAAAGGGAGAAAAAAAAAAATCAATGCCATAATGTTGGTGACACTGTGTGTCACTGGGAGTAGCCCATTGGTATGTACTAATTCTTACTGGGTACAGTAGTTAATTTACAGGGACATTTACGTGCTACATACCGGTGCACAGATACCCTGTGTACAGTAGTAAGCATCATGTCCTCTCTGTACATAGCCACACGTGTGTGTGTGTGTGTGTGTGTGTGTGTGTGTGTGTGTGTGTGT